TTTAAGTTTGAGACCAGTCAAAAATTAGAATTTTTAAGAATAATAAACAAATAAGATCAGACCTCCAAAAAAGAAAAAGAAAAAAAAAACCCAACTTTTCTTTTCTTTCTTTCTTTTCTTTTTTTTTTTTTTTTTGGTGCTGGGGATGGAACTCAGGACTGAGAGCACACTAAGCACACATTCTAACACTGAGCTACACCATACTCCCAGCCCAAACGTTTCCATCCTTTGTTGTTTATCTATATAATTACCAACTATAAAATCAATAAGCCTGGGGTCTGACCTTAAATGGAGGAAGGAGCTTGTCCTTCTAGAGGAATGACATAATCATTTGGATAACATGGGAAATGAGTCGCTTCCAATCAGATTCTACCTTTACCTATTACTAATGAACTCCTCACTTTGCCTTAATAAACCTCCTTTGTCTTATCTTCTTTGTTTTTTTTTTTTGTTTTTTTGTTTGTTTTTTTTTTTTTTTTTTTTTAGGGCTACAAATACCAAAAGGAGTCAATTCAGGCTGCTCTACAGTGCTGGTATTCATGGCAGGTGAAACAGAGAACAGTTTACAAATGCATAGACTAGTTGATATTAAAAAAAAAAAAAAAACTCATAGCATACCTTGTATGTTTGAAGGGCATGAGGAATGCTATCTATTTGAAATATCTCCTTTACCTCAAAATGGTTTATCAAAGCACTTGAAATGTTACCAATTAGAAAAATCTTGAACCTTCTTTAGGTTAGGATTTTATATATCCAGGACTCTCTATTTTAGAATGCAAATAGCCATAGGAAGGTAATAGACTAAGTCTCTGACACATCAGATTGTTTTGCATTCTAACATTAAACTGACAACAGAGTCCTAGAAAAACAGGGCAGATAAGCTCTGGTGAACAAGGGGCAGAAGACAAGTATGGTATACAAAGCACTCCTAGAGGGTTACGCCTGAATAAACACCTGCCTTGGGTAAAATTGGGCATACAGAAAAGAAAATGCAAAGTTCTAGGCCCAGAGAAAAGTGGGGAAAGAGTAAACAGGAAGACTAAAAAGACTAAAACTCAAAACCCAATTAACCATTTCACAATTTGTTTGTAGGCTGGCTGGAATGGTCAACTGCCCCAGGGCATGGTCCCAGAGCAGCAGTAGAAAATGAAGCAATCCTGAATACCAGTTCTATCTTTGGTTACCAGTGGTCTGAGAAAAGTAGGAAAATAATTTCTTAGACTGGTAATTGCCAGTGAAATATATCAAATTCACATGGGATACTTTTAAACCTTCCTTTCTATCTCCAACCATATAACTCATCCCACCTCAAACCAGGTAAAAAATTTGAAGAAGGAAGGGAACCATGCTGAGTAAGAAGTGAACCTTCATAGTGTGAAAACATTCCCCAAGTGATCCAAATGATTATGTAATTCCTCTAGAAGGACAAGCTCCTTCTTCCACTTAAGGTCAGACCCCAGTTTCACCAAAATGAGAAGCAGATCCAGTAGTCCATAGCAGTTGTTAAAATTCTTTATAGTTGAAGATATAAAATTTTGATTGCCACCTAGTGGAAGAGATAGAAAACCACATGCTACAGTGAGGCTAAGTAATCTACAAGTATCAAATGTTTTCTGTACTTTGACAAGCAAGAAAGTTTCCGAAGAATGGGAATATGAAAGATGATTTTAGAGAGCACAAGGATGAATGTTATGTTAGCTAGCTGGTATTTGCTGCAATGCATACTAGAAAAAGGTATATACAACCTTCTGATCCATCAGTTCACAAATATGTGATAAGCTAGATTAATCCTAATTTTAAAAAGTAAACAGATTTTTAAGAAACATCAAGTTATATTACACAGGTGGTACTCATATATACCCATGTAGTAAGATGACTCTAAAATGACTTAAGTTTTATAAATAGTTGTTTAAACTAGGTCTTCTAATGAAAAATACTTTCCCCTCAATGTGTCTGGTTTTATTTATATTTCCAAAGTAAAGTAATCCATATTTTAACAGAAACATTTTTTATGGTACTCACATTTCTTTTTCTCATCAAATAGTTTATGTTTTTGTAAGCAAATTATTTCACAAGCAAATTAGCACTCAGGATTATTAAGTTCCTGTGTGTATCTACCTTCCTTAAAACATGTTTACCTAGGGTTAGGGAATGTAGCTCATCTACTTGCTTAGCATGTTCAAGGCCCTGGGTTCAATTCCCAGCACTACAAAAACAAAATAAAACAAACATGCTTACCTAGGTAGTTATGCCATGTTCATAAATAGTTGATGCCTTCTCATTTTGACAAGTTTCTTTATAGAAAATTGAGGTGGGGCCTCAATTTCATTATAGAAAATATATTTCCATCTAATCTACCCTGTTAACCAAATTTTCAGAGAACTGTTTGAACTCTTGACAACTTATTGTAATAGAATGTACATTAATGACCTATGTCCTATTGTCACAGTAGTCAATTATTTATCATAGAATTTAGAGGTTTAAAGAAGACCCTAAGCACTCAGTCAGCATACATTAATGTTTATATTCCCTGATGTTAGAACACAGAAGTGCAAATCACAAGATTAATTTCATTATCTTTTTTTTTTGGTACCAGGGATTGAACTCAGGGGCACTCAACCACTGAGCCACATCCCTAGCCCTATTTTGTATTTTATTAGAGACAGGGTGATTTCACCGAGTGGCTTAGCGCCTCGCTAAATTGCTGAGGCTGGCTTTGAACTCGGGATCCTCTTGCCTCCACCTCCCAAGCTGCTGGGATTGCAGGCATGTGCCACCGCACCAGGCCTCATTATCTTTTTTGATGGCCACTATGAATGGCAATGATAATTTTCTCCTGAGATAAATTTCACATTGCCACCTCTAGATGCAAGACTGAAAAACTGAGTACTAGAAAACGGAAACAAAATTATCAAGATTAGCTTAAACCAGTTCTCCATCTCCTATATTGGTAATTACTGCAGCTCTTAACCAAATTAGGATTCTGTTGACAGGGAAGAGAAGGGGGCATGAATAATTCCTGGGTATCAACCTACAGTATCTGCTATAAGACCCTACCTCAAGATTTGATTTCTCTCTAAGGTGGCATCACTCTTAGTTTTCTACTTATTTCCTCAGATTTTATTTATATATGTTGTATTATATGTAATGTATTAATTTATTTTTACTCAAATGGTGGCATACTATACATATTGCTCTGCACTGTACCTTTTTCACTTAAAAAGTTGAAGTCTTATTCCTTTTTGATATGTAATAAAACCACCTCCTAATAGGATAAAAGTATTCCATTGTATGAATATGCCATAATTTATCGAGTCCTGTAAGAAAAGACATTTTGGATACTTTCAATCTCTGCTACTATAAAAAAGACTACACTAAACTACCTTATACATGTGTCATCTGATACTATGAATTAGTGCTTAGAAGAGAAATTTCTGATCCATATAAACTTTGGAAATGGCTGCTGGCATTTGGGAAGAGGAATCACATTGAATTTATGGATTAAAATGTAAACAGCATGGCATCTTTATTTTAGAGCCTTTACACTGAGAGTAGAATCTGTCTTTTCATCATGTCATATTTTACTAATTCTAATATACACATTTATAAATAAGGATGTATCTCATAATCTAAAACAATTTTTAATTAGTTAGTCAGCAGACTACGTGACAGTAACTATTCCTGATGGCATGACAGATAAATGCCATCCCTGGTCATTTCAGTCATCAAACCATTTAAGGACCATTGGAGGAAGAAACGTGAATCATGTTGTTAGAAAACCTCTTGTGACATCTTCTGGTAAGATTAGGAAAATGCAAAACCAGTGTCCTAAGTAATTTGGAAGAAAATAAAGAAATATGACATAATCAAGGCTCTTCATGGCATAAAGAGCAATTCTGTGAGGGGGGAAGAGAACACCAATTTTGATGATTCCAAGTCAAAAAGTGATTCAGAAGAATCAGATTCTAAATGTGATGTGTAAGTAATATCTTAACAGATACACTTTGTATTTTTGTTTTTATAACTGCATGAGATAAAATACCAACTATGTCTAAGAGTTCTTTCCATAAATACAAAACAAAATTTTAAGTCCTAAAAGATTACTGCATCAGAGCTACTGGCAGCAGTTTTCTTCGTGTTATATTTTTTAAAATGCAATTTATAATCAGTAGTATCTCGAATTTCATGAAATACACTCAATATTATCTTACATCCCTCAGGAGCATCATTTTAAAGTTCCTCTCATAATTTTGCACATTCTTGTTAAGATTATTTCAATGTATTTTCTCTTTTCTTCCATTACATTTTCTCATTAGTTTATTCATTTTTGCCTATTTTGTAAGCAACTACTTTATTGAATTCTCTTAATATATAATATATATTAATATATACATACATATATATATATATATATATATATATATATATATATATATTTTAGAAGATACTTCTGGGGTTGTGGCTCAGTGGTAGAGTGCTCACCTAGCACAGGCGAGGCCCTGGGTTTGATCTTCAGCACCACATAAAAAAATAAATAAATAATTAAGATATTGTGTCCAACTACAACTAAAAAATAAATATTAAAAAAAGAAGATTCTTCTGGGTTTTCCAGATATAAACTGAAATAAAATTTAAACTCAAATTATCTTAAACTATCTGCTGACATTTTAGTTCAGTGAAGGTAAAGACTGCTTCCATTACTTTTACTGTTCTATCTCTAGCACCTGGGATATACATCTTACTTTGTAAAACTTACTCCAATCCTTCTTTTCCCCAACAGAAATGTTGAGTTAAGTCAAAAAAAATAAAAAAATTAAAAATAAATTATTTTTATTTTTATTTATGTATGAGGAGATAATAGTCACACTCCCAGAAAACATACATACAAATCCTGTAAGAAATTAGGTATCTTATAATCAAATTCATATACACTTGATTATAATTTGTTATATTTTAGTCATTAAAAACTCTAATATGAAGTAATTATTTTAAACTCTTACCTTTTAGATCTTAGATCTGATGACTCAAACTGGATATTCATAGGTCCAGGATTTATTTCATGATTTACTTCAGAGTTGAGAAGATGTCTAGAATCATTATCCATATTTGCCATTTTTCTCAGATTCTAAGCACTAGGGAAGCCCTACATAAACAGGAAAAGATAGCAGTTTAGTTTAATTTCAAAAATATTTTACTTTCATAAGTAATACATTTGAATAGAGAAGAAATGGAAAAGTAGAGGAATTTGCTATCTTTTTTTCTTTTTCTTTTTTGAAATGAGGTCTTGCAAAATTGCCCAGGCTGGCCTCAAATTTAGGATCCTCCTGTCTTAGTCTCCAGAGCAGCTGGAACTATAGGCCTTCAGTTATTGCACTTCGCTGCTAAAGATATTGTAATGAATTATATGCCTGAAATATTTATCAGAGACTGAAATGTAGTTACTTCTTACTTCACAGCTCAATTAAAAAAAAAAGTAAGTAGGATACTCCATTTCCAAGAATAAAACAGATTAGATTATTTAGACTCACTATAAATTAAAAAAAAAGAATTTTTTTTTCTGTAATTTTTGAAAGCACTAACAATAGGAAAATCAGATCATTTGTTGGTGAGTTAAGGAACCTAGAGGTGTAAATGACAAGAAAATTGTTGCTGCCCTAGGAGTATTTACTATACCAAGATAATTTGAGTTGATGTTTACAAAGCCTTAAGAAGTATTAGAGAAACAGAAGACAAGTTCATATTTCATTTAAAGTAAGGAATGATTATAGTAGAGCTTTACTAGCCTAGGTTTCATTCCAAGTAAGGAATGTTTATAATAAGAGCTTATTAGAGTTGGAGTTACCAAAAAAGTAATTTACTTTTTCACAATGGACTTGCCAAGTTTCTTAACAATGAGTGTATGCAAGTATTTGTGGAGGGGGAGCTATTATAACAATTTGTTACCATATGCTACTGCTCATGCCAATTTGCAAAGTATCAAGGTACACTTAAAGCTGTGAATACAATTTAAAGTTAACCTACTTGGTATCACTTTTAGGTAACTGACAGAAACCAATGTAAATCTTTCCTGTAAGGATACACCTTCATTGTAGGCCTTAAAGAAATCCTGTTAACAATCTTTTCAGGATAATGAATAATACACAGTCAAAAATAACCTAGTGCTGGGCGCAGTGGCATATGCCTGTAATCCCAGTGGTTGGGTAGGCTGAAACAGCCTCCTGTCTCGGGAGTTCAAAGCCAGCCTCAGCAAAAGTGAGGCACTAAGCAACTCAGTGAGACCATGCCTTTAAATAAAATACAAAATAGGGCTGAGGATGTGGCTCAGTGGTTGAGTGTCCCTGAGTTCAATCCCTGGTAGTCGTCCCTCCCCAAATTATGTAGGAAATAAAGTGCTATCAATGAGAACTTGAAGAAACAACAGCAGAAATAGATCCACAAGGACTTTAATTATAGAATTATCAGAACAAGATTATAAAATATTTATGTTTTCTATGTTTAAATAAAGAAAAGAAAAAGTAGAAATTTGTGGGGACAAGGGCATGCAGTACTGCATACATGGCATACCTTAAGGGCGTCTGAATGGCAGGCCACTCACCTCATGCTAGGCGCGGGAGCAGCAGACTGCTTACACATAGGTACAGCCCTGGGTGTGAGGCCATGTGTTGCAGTCCCTGCGCTTGCTACACAGCCTACTCCTTGATTGGTCATTGCAAGGACAGTTAGCAAGAAAGTGTATTGGTGGCTGCCTATAATCTGCCTAGCTACCGCCTGAGTATATATACATGATAACTGAGCAATAAAATCAAACCTGCTTCTTACTCAGTCTCTGGAGGTCTTGATTAGCAACTCTGCAGCCACACTCTTCTCTACACTGTTCTGTGGACCTCTTCGCTGGATGAGAGAGAGCCTACACAATAATATTCCAAAAGTGTCTTACCTTATTTTGAAAAAATAGTCAAAATTTAACCCTCAATGGTTAGGTTTAAAAGTTGGAAGAGAAAATTAATGAATTGGAAGATAAGTCACAAGAAACTCTGTAGGAAAAAAAGAAAAAAGAAGAAGTTCTCTAGAATGGGACAGAGAAAAAAAGGCCAAAAATTTGGAAGTTAATGTATATGAAAGAGAGAATGATTAGGTCTAACAAACACATTATTGGAGAATCAAAAAGAAAAAAGATGATAAAAGGTAATACTTGAAGAGATAATGGATGAGAACTTTCCAGAATTCATAAGAAACCAATCAGCAGATTCAAGCAGTTTAATGAATCTGAGAGAAATAATAAACTATTTATAGGGTCAGAAAAAAAGAATTAAAATTATAGATCAAAGTAAATAGGAATGGAGTGCATCACCCCCGTGTACCGCGTCACTACGCGGGTGAATGACGAGTTAGAACGGCCAAAAGCTATCTTGTTAGGAATTTCCAGCAAAATTGGGGTGCACCGAAACCTAGAGGAAGGATTTCCATCGCCCGAGGATCAGTTACTGGGGCTCAACCGCGAGTGATTTGTCCGCCCGGAGATTCAAGCTGCTTATTCAGCGGCTCACCCCGCTGCTAGAGACTGCGGCGCGAGCCAGGAAACGGCGTCCATAGAAACGACGAGCTAGCAACGCAGAGAAACGGCGCTGCTGATTCAGCGGGCTCCTGCCGGCTGTGCCCTCACTGTGCTCAGTGCTGAATTCTGGGTTTGAGACGGGGGAAGGAAGCGGTCCAGTTCTGTCCTCCACACCAGTCAGACTACCGAGGAAGCCAGCGGCCACCATCTTGGAGAGCTGACGTCACCATCGCCAGTTTTCGACTGATCACAGCTCATTCAGCGATAGAACAGGTCTGTGACATTTAGCTCATCTCCCATACAGCGGGGAAATCACATAAAATCTCTCCCCGGCTTTCCGGGGGCGTGATTAACAGAGTGAGCGTGAGTAGAGGCGTGGAGGAAAGGTAAAGGCTCCTGACCCCCAACTCCTCCCTCCCAGCAGCGGTGAAAATGAAACCTGTTTCGCCAGCTCTAGGAGGAGGGGCTAGTGGAAGGAATCAAAACAATAAGGTTCCGGTTCCCAAAAGCCGTGCTCCACGTCCAGGAAACTGCAGGCACAGAGTGTAGTTTGAACTGCCAAGAGGTATCACACTGGGAAAGGCCTGGCTGACAGGAGAAGCCTGGGGACTAGAAACCAGGAATAAACCTAAGCTAACAGGTTTTGAGAGACACCAGTTGGGGGAGGAGGGAGCGGTCTCACACGGATTGTTTCCTACAGCCGGAGGGCAAAATCTTGGCCCGGAAGACACAGCACCACCTACTGGAAGCGAAGAAAATAGAAGCCTAACAGTGTCCCTTTTTTCTTTTAATTTTTTCTTTTTTAGTTTTAATATTTTTTTCTTTTCTTTTCTACAATTATACTACTATTTTTTTAAATGTAATTTTTATTTTACTGCATTTTATTATTTTTTTTATTATCATTTCCTTTTCTTTTCTATTCTTTTCTCTTTCTTTCCTCTCTCCCTCTCTCTTTCTTGGTTTGCTTCCTTACCTTTTCCCCATCTTTCCTCTTAAGCATGATCACCCAGATTACGTACAACTTACTAAATGCAAATAGATGAATACTACGAATCGGTCCATAGTCCGCCTAAGCCCTTAACTACCCCCAAGTACTCCTGTCTATTCTCTTGTTAATATCCGCCTGCATTTGAGCAACCCCCCAAAGAAGCTAACATATACTAACCTCCATACCATCAAAGCGCCCGACCTCAACATAAAATCCTAAGTTCAAACCTCAATTCTATACATGCCATCAAAATCTGTAGGCCTCTAATTAAACTAATGAATTTACCTTAAATCACAATTAAATCGAACATCTCTAAACATTGTCTCTCAACACAAAGGAGAAATATTGGAACTATAAAAACCAAAACAAATTTAAAGAAGAAAACAGAAACACAGCAGTCAAACAGAGTTGGAAAGCAACGCGAGCACCATGAAAAAACAAGGGAAAAAAAGATTACAAACAATGCAGGACAACTTAAATTCACAGGAGAACCTAGAGGCTTCAGAAAAATGGACAGAGAAAGAACTCAAGGCACACCTAACTCAGATGGAACGGAATCTTAGAGAAGACATTAGACAGCAAGTCCAAACAATGAAAGTATACTTTGAAAACGAATTAAATAGGCAAATTCAAATGGCAAAGAACGAGCTATACCAGGAGATAGAGATTTAAAAAAAAAAATCAAACAGTAATCCTAGAAATGCAGGAAACCATAAACCAAATTAAAAACTCAAACGAGAATATTACAAATAGACTAGATCAAATAGAAGTCAGAACATCAGATAATGAAGACAAAGTGTATCAACTTGAAAAGAATATACTCAACACAGAAAGGATGCTAAGAAATTACCAGCAATCTATCCAAGAGATATGGGATGTTATAAAAAAACCAAACTTGAGAGTCATCAGGATAGAAGAAGGTATAGAGGTTCAAACCAAAGGAATGAACAATCTATTGAATGAAATAATCCTAGAAAACTTCCCAGATATGAAAGATGGAATGGATTGCCAAATCCTGGAAGCCTACAGGAACCAAACATACAAAACCATAATAGACCAACTCTAAGACACATAATTATGAAGATATCCAACATACAGAACAAGGAGAGAATATTAAAAGCTACGAGACAAAGAAGGCAGATTACATTCAGGGGTAAACCAATTAGGTTAACGGCTGATTTTTCATCACAGACGTTGAAAGCAAGAAGATCCTGGAACAACGTATTTCAAACGCTGAAAAATAAATGATTCCAACCAAGAATACTGTATCCAGCAAAATTAAGCTTCAGATTTGACAATGAAATTAAAATATTTCACGATAAACAAAAGTTAAAAGAATTCGCAGCCAGAAAACCAGCACTGCAAGGCATTTTGAGCAAAACACTACAAGAAGAGGAATTGAAAAACAGCACCCAAAACTAACATTGGGAGGTAACTCAGTAAAGGAAAGAATAAAAAATATAACCAAAAAGGAAAACGAGCCATATTAAAATAAATAAATAAATAAGCATTACTGGAAGTACAAACAATATATCAATAGTAACCTTAAACATTAATGGCTTAAATTCACCAATTAAGAGACAAAGGCTAGTAACCTGGA